TATACAGCCTTCTTCTAGCTCATTCCACATCATTGTGTTTCCTTTTATCCTAAATATGGAGATTAAATAATTAGTCCATAAACATAAAAAAGATTGGTTAACTTGATCATTTGTAAAGAATGCACGATATTTTTGATTAAAAACATACTTCCACTACTACAAAAAATATTAACTGTAGTACTTATTTTTTAACTTTTGTAGCATTTTCGAAACACCACATTGATACCTGCTACGGAAAAGTGTGGGTATAAACTATAGCGTTTTCTTGAAAAAGCACTACAGGAAATATATCTTTTGTAGTGCTTTCTTAGGAAAGTGTTGCTATTTTCTGTAGCGTTTTCTGAGAATAGTACTATAGGAGCTTTTAACACTTATAATAAGTGTGATTTATAAGAATAATTTACTAATTAAATAACAGCTGGAAAAAAAATTACTAATTGAATACTAAATTTGAGAGTCAAGGTTGATGGAAAGTTATTTAAAACCAAAACAAATTTCTCAATTAATTACCAATACATATTTTCCCATCCCATTTTATAAGAAATAATATATTTGTCTCTAAATATAAATAATCTATCTTCTCTAAATATAAAAAAATCAAGTCTCTTTATTTGAAATTTTAAACTAGTATTTTTATTTTTATTCTTATTAAATATTTGTCACTTATTATTTTTTTATGATAGATTTTCACTCATAATCTCTTACAAAAAAAAAGTATATATCTTGTATGTTTATTGTACTTAACTAAATTTAACTAATATCTTGAACTATGTGATTTTGATTTTAATAGAGGGAGTACGGCCTAAGTGTATAAGAAGTTACAAATGTATATGGTTGTCGGCGTCGTGGTTTCTGCTTCTAGTATAGCCAAGGGCTCGAGAAACCTAGTTATGCTGTATCAGTAGGATCGGATGAAAAGAAGAAGAACCTGAGAGGGCATGGTCTCATTAATGAAGGATGAAGAAAATTAAATGAGATCTATCTACTAGTATTATTTATTTTTAGGTATTAAACCACCCACGAGGATTCGCATGGAGGTGGGGGAATGTGATGTTTTATGAGAGTAGTGAGACAAGGAACATAAATACGAAGCTTCGGAGCAGATGAGGGATGGATAGTTGGAAGCTCCGAAGAAGAAATGTAAGTACAGGTATTCTCTTTTTCTCCACCGCCCGCCCCACATCCATCGTACTCTGCTACTTTGTCTCTTTCTCTTGCTTCATTTCTTTCCATCACGTGCGCCCTCGCTTCTCTTCTACGATTCTATTTTTAATGTTTTGACCCCACTATGGACTACAAATTAAAGTACTTAATTGGCTTAGGCGAACCTGTATTAATTTCTGATTCCATCAATATAATGCTGAGTAAATAGACATAATTCTTTTTTATGCCGAGGGTGCTGGGAGAATTATAGGACTTGTTAATTTTTATACTGATAACGTTGGATTGACGATGATGTAATGAGCATGGTTCGTTTTGTGAGGTGCTCACGAACTGGGGGAATTCAAAGGTGCTAATCATACAGGTTTTGAAGAGAGCACAGTGAAGCGTTGAATATGGAAATTTTTGCGGTTCCTCCTTGTCATCTTCATCATTCTGGGACTTGTTTTGTGTATTACTTGGTCAGAGACACTGACGCCCATCAAAATCCCATCGTCATTCCTGTGTGCGAGACAATGCATCTGTCTCAGCCCTTCTTTTAGTCTCGCTTTCCATAATGTCACGGTCACCATGAAAACATTTCGTATATAATATAATTGCCAGACTCGATCAGAATTAACACTCGGTTAAGACCTCAATTTAATGGCAAGGAGTAAATTTGGGTGAGATGAATTTTTCAATATATGTTATTTCACTGCGAGATCCTGAGTATCTTCACTGCGATTGACAATATATTTAGTACATATATGAGTAGGACTTCTACTAAAGACAATTTTGCTTGAAACACTATCAAGTGGTAAACATGGGGTATTTCTCCCAACAATAATTCGAATGTTGGTTTATTATATTATGAGGAACTAACTGGTACCTCTCCTAATGATAATTCAAACCTTGATTCACATCATGCTCTGTCAAGTACATGAAGGTTAACAGTTGGAGAAAATAACAAAAAAAAAAGGTTAGAAATTACTAGATAACAAATCAGGAATGTCAACAAAAATTTATTGTTAGTTGCAAATTTAGTGTTGTTAACACTAAATAAAGTATCGTTACCAAACTTGATCTGAGATTTAGTAATAAAGTAGTAAATATGGGGCATTTCTCCCAACAATAATTCAAATATTGATTTATTACACCGTGAGGAACTAACTGGTATTTCTCCTAACAATAATTTAAACCTTGATTCATATCACGTTCTAAGGTATTGACTCTTTCTATCAGACCCAACATAAATATGTATGAATTTTTCAAATACATGATGGTTAACAATTGGAGAAAATAACCCAAAAAAAAAGTTAGAAGTTACTAAATACCAAATCAGGAATGTCAATAAAAATTTATTGTTAGTTACAAATTTAGTGTTGTCAATACCAAATAAAGTATTGTTATCAAACTTGATTTGGGATATAGTAATTTTCAGGTTTTTTTTACTCCCTCCGTTCCTTATTATAAGAGACGAATAACCGAATTGCGTTGATCAAAAAAACAGTTAAAATTAGTTAAGAACAATTAATGTGCAAAAAGTATAATTTTTTTTCCAAAAATGCCCTCATTAATAAGGAGAGAGAGCATGAGAGAGAACAATAGTAAATTCTTAAAAGAAAAAGAAGTGGGAAGGAGAGAGAGTGTGAGTTGGAGACAATAAATATGGGTAAAATAGAAAATTAACACAAAAAAGTAGAGACAACTTTTAAGTGTCTCTTATATTTAGGAACATACACTATAAGCATCAAATGTCTCTTATAATAAGGAACGGAGGGAGTATTGTTTTGCTTCTGAAAAATATCCCTGGTCAAAAACATTAACAAAACCCAAAAGATGGATGGTTGAGGCCCACTGGACATCTCGACTATCGTTTTTAATTTTCTTCCCTCTTCACGAACGTGGATAATTAGGATGAGGCGGAGCGGGTTCAGGTTTTCTATCGGGCCTACGAAGAAACTCGTACTCTTTTTGTGTGGACAAAACCAGAAAAGGATTAGATTGGAAACTTCAACCTCCCTAAATAATGCTCGGCCTGATTAGTTATGAGCTGGAGAAAGTTAAAAAAATACTCATGCATTCTTTTTTTTTTTTTAAACATATAATCTAATTATTGAGTTAATCTTAATCAATGTTTTAAAAGTCGGACCGGAAGTCGAAACGGAAAGATCAACGGGTTATGGTTCAATCGGTCGGATCGGTCAGACCGTTCGGTCAAACCGGTGACGCAATAATTAATTTAAAAAAATATTATATACATATAATTAGTATATATGAAAAATATCAAATTATTAAATAATTTAGAAATGCATTTAAATAATCTAAAATTATAATAAAATCATTGAAAATGGATTAAAACCTTATATATTTAATTTTATGTATGTTTAAAATATTTAATGATATTACAAATTATTAATTCATTCAAATCAAAATATTTTTTTAAAAGATAGATCAAATATCGAAACAAAAAGACTAGCGACTCACGATTTTAACACCACAATATATGAAATTTTCAATGAAATAATACTATATGGTTATAACTAGTCTAAAAATATATTAGGATATTTAAGGGGATCAATTTTTTTATTTTTCTTCTATTTTTTTAAAATTTTTTAGTATTTTTTAGTCAGGCTAAAAAACCGTCCGGTTTTCTGAAAACCGTTCCGGTTCCCGGTCCAACTCCGGTTTCCGGCTTAATAACGGCTCAACTCCGGTCCAATCCGGCTCAACTATGTGAACGGTTTTTTGGTCCAAACCGAGCCGTTAACGAGTCCGGGTGACGGTTCAACCGGTCCGACCGTCCGATCCGGTCCGGTTCTTTAATCATTGATCTTAATCTTATTATGATTAATTTTTTTTCTAAATTATTCCTGTATATGCTTCTTCAACCATAATCAAATAGGAGAGATTGGAGAATATTAAGAAAAATGATTATAATATTTTAAGAAAAACATATCATATTTTTTATACTCCTCCGGTCCTTAATATAAGACTTAATTAACTAATTTAAATATATTAAAAATGTTATTTAAATTAGTTAATATGATATGTTTTTTCTAAAACACCTTAAACATCTTTTTTAATTCTCTTTCTCCTCCCTTACATGATTATTGTTAGAAAATATTAAGAGAATTAATTTAAAAAAATTAGTGAATATATGAAATAGGTTTTATATATGAGAACAATATTAAATCTCCAATTACATTTTATATTAAGAATCAAATGAATGATTAATTAACTTAAATTTTTTTTAATTTAATTAAATATGATTATGTTTCTTAACAGCCGTCAATTTCATATGAATCCCAAAACTGGGAAACTTTGACTTGCCTAGTTAATGCTCCGAGTAATTACTGTCAGATATGAGCTGGAAAAAGTGAAAAACTATAATATGGGTTCCTGATGAAATTACGTTCTCTTTCTCGTGTGCAAAAAAGAAGAAGAAGATGAAATTACATTTTTTGACAACTGTCAATTTCACATGAACTCATGAAATACGAAACTTCTTTTTTCCGGATAAAACAAAATAGGAAACTTCAACCTGCCTAATTAGCGTCGAGAGTGGTTAGATGGGAGCTGGAAAAAGTTAAAAAAATATATCACGAGATCATGATGAAATTAAATGTTTTTGACAACTGTTTTGGGCTTAGGCCCTGTTTGTAATACCATTTTTTGTTTTTTACAACTGTCAATTTCACGTGAACTCATGAAATAGGAAGCCCAAGTTGCGTGATTATTCAGTCCAAAACAAAAGAGTTGCCAGATTAGTTATAAATTGGGCCACAAGTGCCCAATCCATCACTGGTCCGCGCCTTTTTTGTCCGTTAAAAAAAGGAACCCTTGCTTCCGTTGGCGCTCTTTCTCCTTCCAACTGCAGCCTGCAGGGGTGCAGGGATTGAAAATTATCGGCAGTGTGACTAGTCAAGTGAAAATCTGTTCATCATGGAAGTAGAACGCGCAGAATTATTCAAGGGTGGCTCGGACCTTTGCCAGCAGCTCATGGACCGTTATGCCAACTCTGCGGCGCCGCAGCACCGGCACCTTCTCGCCACCGCCGCAGCCATGCATTCCAATCTCACCGCCGAGTCCCTCCCTCTCACACCGCCGGCTTATTTTGCCGCCATTATTTCTGCACTTGATACTGCGTCTTCGTCCGAGTCCTTGGACCCGACGGCCGTTTCCGCACTCTTGTCTTTCCTGGCCATCGACCTTCCCCTGGTGCAACCCGGTGGAATTGCGCCCGCAAGGGCGAGTGATGCTGTTGAAGTATTGGTCAAGGTGGCGGAGAGGGAAGGGGAGGGATTGGGTGTCTCTAGTGTGAGGGCGGCGGTAAAGTGTTTCGGAGTTTTGATGGGGTTTTGTGACTTGGAGCTTTGGGACACTGTCAGACTGGGCTTCGAAGCACTGATGAAGTTCTCCATCGACAAGCGTCCCAAGGTATTCGTATGCTTTTGTTATTACTTCTCCCGTTGTTAGTTTATGTAACTAGGCATACTAAGATGCTTATGTTTAATTATCCACAATTTTGTGCATATGTTCTGTAGTGTCACTGCAAAACTCAATCCTCATTGTCTTCTCACCTTATTTAAGACATCCACTCTTTCACTGCCCATTGGCGTCGTACATATCCCTTTGGTGGTTAATCCCGGCATTGACGTGTAACTGTGCATGCAAGTAATGTAATCCGTATGACAACATGTTCTATTCTTTATTGGAATCAGAGGTCTTCTAGTATCGTTATGTCATGATGATATAAGACCTACTAAGAATACTAACGCTAACCGTGTCTCAAAGCAATAGAGCTCCTGTCTGGAAGAAGGAAATCTGAAGACCCGCACTTTTTTTTGACATGCAATGCCATGTGAAGGAAAACTTACCACCTTCTTGAGATCATTGAAAAGGTTTTACGCGGTAAAGTTGTCGATCTTATTTTGTTTGATTTCGCTGACAGCAATTGGCCTTCCTTGCCATTTGCATGGCACCTAGGTGTATTCATCAGTCTGCTTCCTTCAGTAAATGCAATCAAATTCTTCGACCAAGTTGTATGGTCAAACCAGACTTACTAGAAACTGATTTGGTTCTTTCTTCTTCTGTTTTGTTTTCATGTTTTCGTGTGTTCTTTTTAGTTGGTTCTGTTTGGATGATTGTTTTTGTAATATTTTTGGTCAAAGAGTTGGTGAAATCATTGGTAGAATCAAACAAGTTCAGTTCGCATGCTTTTGCTGGTTGGATTCTTTCAGGTGCGAAGATGTGCTCAGGAGTCTCTTGAGAAGGTTTTCAAGTCTTTCCAGTCTTCCAGAGTTGTTATGGAAGCCAGCAAGTTCGTTTTGTCGGTGCTGAGAAGTTACATGCCTTTGGCTACAAACTTAGTCACGTCAAGGACTAGTAATGGCTCTAAAGATGATATGTCCTCCAAACCTGAACATATGGAGGTCCTCTATGTTCTAAACGTACTTAAGCTTACTGCTCCTTGTCTTTCTGCAAAAGTCATTTCAAAAGTGCTTTCAGAAATGCATAAATTAATTGATTCCCAGTTCTCAGCACTTACAAGGCATGTTCTTAAAACCATTGAAGCTATTTTTGAAGCTTCAAGATCTGAAAATATAGTTGTAGAGACAGAGAACATTACAGTTTCTCTTACTTCATATGTGTCTTTGGGAGATAAGAACCCCCTGGATACTGTAATTTGTGCAGCATCCTTGTTAAGCCGTGCATTGGACATGCTTCATACTGGACAGTCAAGCTCTTGGATCAAGAATCTTCCTCATGTTTGTAGTTCTGTTGTGGGTATGTGTACTTCCGACATGGCTACATGTTAATTGAATGTAAAATTTTATCCTTTGATTGTGTTCAGGTTAACTCTAGGTCTCTTGTTATTTTCTCTCCGTCATCAAATTTCATCTAGTTAAAATGGAATGTTTAGCACTGCCTTTTGTCTATTTTAACTTTTGTTTGACTTGAATTATTGCATTCTAGAATTACATGATTTGCAGGGATGTTATTATTCTGTCATTGAAAACATCCTAGGTTGCCTTCTCTAGTTTACTTCACCAAGCCTATCATTCAAATATCAGTAACACAGTAGCTCAAGACAGCTGCAATACTTCTGTTCCTTATCTGCTTTCGTTTGAGGAAAATGAACAGTTACCTTTTGATTCAAATCAGTTGCATATCTGTATCATTTAAAATAAGAACTTCAATTCTGGCAAGCTAGCGACTACCCCAAAAGCTTATGGAGTTGGAGAAGACCCAAGAATACTTTAATTAATATCTCTGACATGCCACTCAAGCAAAAACCTTTCTGGTTGAAGTGAGGAGGAAGTGTAGATCCACCCATGGGTGAAACTTTTACCTTGTTAAGAAACCAACCATCCCAAAACGTTCAGCTGTCAGAGGAGGTCAAAAATTGGTTCTGTTAATATATCTTAGGCCTGCCAGACATTTTCATTGTACTTTAGTAGCAATAGTTTGCTATTTTCCACAAAGAGTACTGTGCGGAGATTTTATGTCAGGTTTTTAACTTTGTCAGAGCTCACAATTATATAGTTTGAATTTGCAACAATTTCTGAAGACCTTCTAAGTGAAAATGGGGAAAATGTGAGAACATTGTCAAAAAGTTTAACTTCTAAGGTAACTCTTGCTGAATTCACCTAATAATAGGCTTTATAAATAATCTAAAGGTGTCTTTCTATTTAGCAAATGATTATATAGAATTTTAGGGGGGGGGGATTCATGTTGTCATATGCTTTCTGAGTTTAATCATTCAAAAGTGTTACATCTTGTATCTACCAGTGTGCTTCCACGTGTCCTTTCATGCATGTTGTGTTCTGATTCAGGCTGTCAATGTTGAACTTAGGTCTTCTAACTTCTGAGGCAAGCACTGCATCAGAGGCTTCAAGTATTTTGAAGGATGTGCTGAAGCGTCATGTGCACCCACTAAGCTTATTAATCAATGCGGATCAAATATCCTCTGGCAGGAATCAGGAAAGTTTTGAAAGCAGTGCTTTGAAAGCAACATGTGCCGTTTTTGAGGATGCCCTTTCAAGTGGCGTTGGAATTCCAAATGAGCATATTCTGTCTGTCATATCTGTTCTGTTTCTTGAGCTTGGTATGGGACTTTCTTATTTTACAGTAGTTCACTGCTTTTTATCCATATAATCATATTGATGATTATGCCTATTCTCGGTTATTGTACTTTTCCCTTCTTTCAGTGATAATTTTGTTTTACCTTTTTTTTTTGGGAGGTGGTGGTAGACATAGTGTTAATCTCTGCTTATTGCTGGGTAATTCTTTGTTGTAGGTGAAATCTCGTTTGTGCTTTTGAGGAACATTGTGCTTAAACTTGCTGACTTGATGACCCACAATTCTGAAGGTGGCAATAGTGTGGACCATGTAAGTACTGACCGGGGATTTTCTTGGCCACTGTGGTGTTGATCGGGCCTTACCACTTAAAATTGTGCAACTAATGCTTCATGTTTCCGGTTTTTCTTTTTCTGATATGTACTTTCCTCAGTTAATTCTAAACCTTGAGTATAATTTAGGGGGAATGACACCTCGTCCCAATACTTCAATTTAATTCCCAAAAAAAATTAACTACCAAGCAGTTGATTTTCTGGGACCTAAGTGTAATTCCTAGTATATCTCCTTTGCTATAATATTCCAAGTGGATAAATTTGTCACTGATCGGTTCACAGGTTTGAGATTTTAGATGTTCTTCTTTCTTTGTACCGTTGTGCCTGCTGCAATAAACATGTAATGTTTAATGTGTTTTAATGCATTTCATGCTCAAATTTCTGCTGAGTATTGGTTTTTCTGCTTTTTGTAATCACGCAGCTTCAGAAATGTTTTGGTGCTGCTGTTTTTGCCATGGGGCCAGAGAGGATTCTTATGCTTTTACCTATCTCTCTTGACGAACATGACTTGACTTATTCAAATATTTGGCTGATACCTATTTTGAAGTGCTATGTAACTGGAGCAACCCTTGCATGCTACATGGATCATATCATGCCTCTTGCGAAGTCCTTTAAGAAGGCTAGTCATAGAGGTATTCTACCAATTTTTATATTTTTCACCGTGTGATTTATCATTCTTTTCAAAATCTTCTGCTTACTAGTTAGTTTTATCATTCTAAAATGTGATTTCCTTATTTTTGTTTTACTGGATAAAAGTACAGAAAAAAAGTACTGATATTATAACTGGTGTTTTTAAATTTGGGTCAGGCATTAAATTAAGGAAAATAGTGGTTCATGGTTTAGTTCTGACCGTTGTTGAACCATGTTTGAACTGGTAATAGGTAAATATGTTTTCAAAATTTTCTGCAGAAACAGATAAATACTAGGCTTTTTTTTTTTGGGGTTTTGGGGTGTAACAAACCATTCAGTATCTGTAATGTCAGCTAATTTGGATTCAATCCAAATTGGGCCCCAATTGAGGATGTTGTTCTCGCAGTGTGATTTTTTTAGTTCCAAGGATTGAATTTGAAACTTTGTTTGGTAAGTGTTGAGTTCCTTGCGACTCATTTTGGTAAAGACTAATAAATTTTAAATATTGAATTATAATTCCATGTTTTTTAATATGTTTGAGAAGTCATTTTTGAATTGAACAATACAAAAACTACCCTTAATTAAGAGTTTTAATATATAACTTTCGAGTTTCCAATATTATGTGAAGAGCCCAATTGTAGAAGTAGCGATTTTTTCCAGATACCTTGACAGTTGAACGAGATGCTGCTAAGAGATGGAGCATGATGGAGAGAACTTCCAAAAATTACCGAATACACACTTTTTGTTTCTCTTGTTTTCTTTCCTTTATTTTCTCGTTTTTTCAACTTCCACTTTCTCCTAGAGCCTTGCATTCTTAGTTTTTCAGATCTGATCATGATGAATTGTGCTGTTTCATAGGAATGAATCTTATGAGGTGCAAAATTTCAAAATTGGTTGACTCTTGAGGTTTGACTAGGTTTAGGCAGGTTGGTTTGGTCTGGTTTTCCTAACAGTGGCAACAATTGTTTGATTATGAATAATTTGGTTGCGTGGAGAGATGGTCTTCTGTCTTGCCTAAAATGTTCGTTCCTTGTTGTTATCTGGTTTCTCACCTTTACCAGCTTTAACTGGCCTTTTCCTTTTATTTTTTCCCCCTTCCAGTAAAAAAGTCAGCGATTAGCCAAGATCTGCAGGTTCGAGCTCATGAGCTCTTGGCATTGCTGCCTAGCTTTTGTCGTCATGCAACGGATACTTACCAGAGGTTTTCCAGTCTGTCTGATATTCTTATTACTTTCCTCAAGAAGAACCCTTCTATGCATGAAAATATTTCCATGGCATTACAGGTCTCTCTCCTTCCAAACTGATTAGCCCTATATGATTTAAGTTGTACCTTTCTTACTCTTAATTTTTGTGTAGATTCTTGTAAATGAGAACAGAAGTGTGAGCCAGCAAAAGAGTGAGTCAAGCTGCTATGCACTACGAGATTCTTGGATGGAGTTTGGAACTTCACCTTCCTACTCAAAGAAAGAAGCCAATAGAAACATCAAGGCTCTGGCCTCTTGTTCTAACCAATTGCTTCGTGTACTATCAGACTTGTTTATAAATTCACACTCCGGCAATCACATTCCTTTAAAGGTTGTTCATTTATCACTTATTTCGCTCCCTGTCTTAGATAAGCCCTTCTCTTCTTTCCTTGTGTTGCTTGAAAAATGCATGACTTATTTCTATTTTTCAATAATTTGCACAGCATTACCCTTACCTGCCAGTTGGAGTTGCTATCTTTCAGGCCTAAATTTTATCTCAATTATGTCATTGAATAGAGCCTGTAGTCAAGAATTTGTTGGCATTATCATCATTCTAATGAATATTTATTCAGGGAGGTTTCAAGTCAATGCAGCATCTAAACTTTTAGGTGTCATCTTGGCTGGAAACATTACCTCTAGCTCTCCTTATTCTTAATAATAATAAAGATTATTTTTATGGTTTTGTATCTATCACACTCTTTTCAATTTCTCTCTGATATTTCTTTAAGCGATTGCCTGATGATTTTTGTTTATGGACAGGATACAAGTAATTTGAATTGTTTGATTTTTTTTTCTTTCTCAGGGAGCAGTTGGATGTCTGGCTTCTATCACTGATTCTTCTGTAACTAAAGAAATCTTTGCGTCATTACTTAAAAGGTTTCAGTTTATTGACTATGAAGGTGAATTTGAAGAGCTGAAGAATGACGATCAAACTTTAGATAGTGAACCAAGTGACACAGAGGGAGATTCTCAAAGGTAACAGTGGAAATTTAATTTTCTAAGGATAATTGAGTCAGTGGTCTTGCATGGCAGTATGGATTTTAATACAAGGGCAATACGTCATGCATGTCTCAGTTTTGCATTTAATGCTAATCTCATAGCATCCTTATTACTTTCCCTGTCTTTTCTGTTTTAAATTGTTAGTTATCTTTATAACACAGGTTATTTTATCTCTGAAGCCTTATAATCCTTAGCAAAGTACCTTTTTTGAGAGAGAGGATGGTGCAGGTATAAGTATATTTTAAATCTAAGCTGATGAACACTTGCAAACATAAATAGGAAAGAATCCATTGATTTGTTATAAATACCAGTTTGTAAATTTTGTCCTTTTACCAACTTTTCGCTTTGGCAGCCTTCATTTTATGTCACTCTTATGCTATAGTCAACCATCTTATCAAATAGCTGATGTTAAATGTCCATTGCTGGCATCATTTTCAGACTATAATATTTGAATTGGAGAGCCCAACAATCGTAAATGATGAAAACTCACTCATTTCATTTATATGATTGTGAAGTCACTGAATGTTCATAATTACTTATTTGTTCAGGCAATTGATATTGGAATTGGCATCATCTCTTGTTGAGGGAGCCAATGATGATCTTGTTGAGATGATCTATGCTTTAACTTTAAACTCTTTTCAGGTATTTCTGAGCGATGGACATTTCTTTTTTTGTTTTTACTGCTTTTTTAATAATTCTGTTGACTATCCCATATGGTTTAACCTTTTACTCAAATATATTATGCTATTTAGGCTGCTAATGAGCGGGTTCATCATGAGGCTTACTGCACTTTGAGCAAAATTTTGGAGGTTTGCATTTGCGCAACATTCTCATGTTCCATAGTCGTTTTTTTTGGTTCCAGTTTCATTACTGTTGCTGGTTGATGCAGGAACACACATCTTTTTGTTCTTCTCGATATGGAGAGCTTATTGATTTCTTGCTAAATCAGAAGCCTCCAAGTGATATTGCATGTCTTAGAAGCCGATTTGCTTGTTTCCACACTTTGATGATACGCACAATGAAGGTCAGAATTTTGTTCAATTAAGATAAATTAATTTTCTGTAATTTGTTAAAGCTAGACCAATAAGTGAATAACTGGGTGGCCCTTTGAGGGGGAAAGAATATAACTAATTCTTCTACGCATTCTGCAGATGAGCTTGGAGGAGGAGGTGGACTCAAAAGCCTTTTCAATTCTCAATGAAATAATTCTCACATTAAAGGATGTAAGATTTGAGTGAATATTGTTGATGTACTTGTCAAAAACTTCAGATTTAAGTTTTGTCTGTCTTTTTAAATGAAAGAGGAAAAATGTTGGCTTTATTAAACTGACAACCAATTGTAATTTGTAGGGCGACGATGAAGCTAGGAAACAGGCATATAATGTACTCCTTGATATTGGCTCCGCGTTGAGAGACTTATCTTATGATGGCCCGACTGCACCATATCATAAACTCATTAACATGGTAAATGCATATTGTATTTCACTTTGATGTTCCTTTCTCTAAGTGTTTTTTTTTTTTTTCCAGTAGTTGCTTGGTTAAAAGTCGATTATGTTCTATATATAAACTACTTCCTCTGGTCTTATTTATAAGCTTTAATTTGGGAAGAGGTGTGTGGCTCATTTTATAAGCTTTAATTTGGGTTGGTCTTAACATTTAGTACATTTTTTTTTTAATTTTGCCCTTAATTATTTATCCTCTCTCATTTGCCATTCTCTTTCTCATCATATTTCCTCATACATTCCTTTTTATCCTTTTTCTCATTTATTATAAGGGCATATTTGGAAACAAATGTATATTTTTAACTTATTTATTGCTTTTAACTAGTTTTAACCGGTTGTTTGTTATCCACAAATTAATTATTTGAATCTTATAATAAGGACTGAAGGGAGTAAAAAAAATAGGTTTATGCAATGAGATCTTATCTTTATGCTGTTTTCAAATCTTTATTTGGTTATTGCACTATTGAACTTGGTTGTGCTATTTTTTAATTTCGCTTGCTTTTTTTATCCATTGGTCGTAAATAGTAAGTGATTGACATTCTATAATATTCAGATAATGGGGTATCTTTCTGGTTCATCTCCGCATATACAAAGTGGGGCAGTGTCTGCACTGTCTGTTTTGGCGTACAAGGATATAGACATCTTTCTCTCAGTGTCTGATCTTGTTCCATCTCTTTTGTCTTTGCTGCATACCAAAGGTGTTGAAGTCATAAAAGTGAGTACTTTCCTACTCAAATTTCAAAGTCACAGTACTTTTAGAGGATCTATACATAACAACAACTGAGCTGACTTACATCTTTTACAGGCTGTGTTGGGCTTTGTAAAAGTGATTGTCTCCTGCTTACAAGCAAAAGATCTGCACAACTTCCTCTCAGATATTGCAACTGAAGTCCTTCCCTGGTCGTCTGTCTCAAGACATCATTTTAGATCAAAGGCAAGTGCAAATTTTAGTGTTATGATTGTAAAATTCTAATCAATGCTTGAGTGTGTGCTTATATAGACAGTTTTGTGCAGGTCACTGTCATATTTGAGATAATAATACGGAAGTGTGGTGCTGCAGCAGTCAAGGCGGTTGCCCCTGGGAAATACATGGGTTTTATCAAGACAGTGCTAGAGGTATGCCCTTTTCTGTTAGTTAAGAGACCACTGCTATACCTTCAACTTGGCCTGAGCCTATTCTTATGTGACAGCAACTTAAGCACAAACGCAAATTTTTTGGACATGTGGACTTTGAAGTTCAAATGCATCAAAGTCACAAACTTCAAATCTCAGTTTTTTTTTTCTTTTTTCACTAAGGCAAAAATATAGTGACTAAATTTAGGCAATGAACAATTTATAAACTACGTTCTTCTTTGCTGCCATAATGAAAACCTTTTATTGATTTACTAATGGTTACTAAGTTTACGTGGGGCCAGACTGCATTTGGTCTCTGGTTTGACTCCCCCCCGGATAGTCATCCTTTTGTTTTGGAGCTTTAAACAATTATTTATCTCTTATGTAGAATTCTTTTCCCCTTGTCTGTTTTTTGTAAGGTGAATTCTTCCTTTCCTTCTTATCTATATGCCAGCTATACAATTTATGTTGTGCACCCATTGGATTTCTTCGATTGGAGTTTTGTCTGAACTTTGTATTACTTTCAAGTTCATTTTATTTTAGTTAAATGGTAAATGCTGACCAATTTTAAACATTTCATTTCACTGTATTGCACTCTTTGCCCTCCAGAACCGCCATGGCAGATCGAGTGCAGTGGAAGATGTCAATAATGATGCAGAAAGTGTTCCTGAATCTGCGAAGGGGTATAGCTTCAACTGTTTGTTAACTAGTTTTGTTATTTACTTCGTTGGTTTTTTTGAACGTCATCCTTGATCCTACAAACCCGAAGCAGCAGCCTTTATCTGATCCTTCTTTCCCCCTTGTATCATAGGCCAAAGCAGAAGAAGCCCAAGAATTTAGATTCTCAGGGGAATGGTGCAGGCAAACTTAAAAAGAGAAAGGAAGAGAAGAAATCTGATCATGAATCCGATTCCGCCAAAAGAGCTAGGCGTTCTTATAATAATAATAATAATAATTCAAAGAAAGGAGGTCAACAAGGAGGTAAGAAGGGCAATTGGAGTAGTAAGAATAAAGGTGTCGCTGGTGGTGGGAAGAGAAAAGTAATGCCTAAGGCTAAGAGTACTGGGAAGGATAAGGCAGCTTCTCATGGATCCATGAGATCTTCCAAATCCCACAAGACGAATAGGTAAATCACAACCAAAATGAGAAGCAATCTGCATCAATCAGAAAAGCAAGTGCTACCAGCAAATGTGCGAAGCATAAAGTTTTCCTGGGGAGATTAGTGAATCCCCATCTGAGTGGGGGAGATGACAGGTAAAATAGTATCTGCAGGTTTTTTAATGTCTAAGCATAAAGTTTTCAGGCTAACCAAGTGTAATTGATTTGCTGGCTTTCATCAAGTTCTAGGTTTGAATCTCTTGGCTAACTCCTCTAAAGGTTTTTAAATCATAGGACTATTATACTTCGATGCATAAACCGTAAGGTTGCAAATTTTGTCCATTGTTACATGTATTCATATTGTTAATCTACTAATATCTATAAGACAACAAAAAGATCTGTAATGATTATAAGTATTTATCCTGCACATTAGTTTCTTGATTGTTCTCGTACTGTTTACTCGTTAGGATGTTTTTTTTTTTTTTTTGACCAAGCTCGTTAGGATGTTACTAAATGTAGACAGCTGAAGTTTAATATATTTTTGTGTGAATTTTGGTCGTTCCCTTTGCTTTTTTTTTTTTTTTTTTTAAATTGGTCGTTAGTTTTTTGTTTTGCAATTGTATTTTGTCTATTCTAAAATATAAAAAAAAATCAAAGATCTGAATAATCTAATTTTAATTTAGATGGGAAGGAGTTGGTAATGAATAATGAGTAGAGTGGATTGATTTCTGAAGTTTTCCACTGTCCTGGAAAAAAATCATTCAAAGATAAAATTGTGTTTTCCTGAAATTTATAATTATAATTTCAAGTGGATTGAATTCGAAAGATAGGGGCTGGCCGAGAAGGGGGAAAAAAATCCAACAACTGAGCCAATAACAGTTGAATTTAATCAATAATAATAGGATAGAATGCGGTTATTGTATACTCTTCCGGTTTTTAATATAAGACTCATTTAACTAATTTGATTAGATTAAGGAAGTTGGGTAAATTAGTTAATTATAAAAAAGTGACATATTTTTCCTAAAACACTATAATTATCTTTCTTAATGCTTCTTCTTTCTTTTTTACTTGATTATGGTTGAGAGAATATCTATATGGGTAATTTATATAAAATTGATAAATATGACAAATGAGTCTTATATTTAGGACTAAAACTAACTTAATAATTGGGTCTTATATTAAATATTATTATTTATATATAATAAATAATAATATGTTAAACATATCGATCCAACCTAGAATATATATGTGTGTACATGTATATAACAAAAATTTAGGCTTCGTTCCCTTCTTATATATATATTTTAAATGTGATGAGGAAAATGTTATTTTCAATTATAAACATAAAAAGTGTTGCAAATTGTCATATGTTACTTAAATACTTAAAGGTAATAAGAATTTTGCAGAGCTTAATATAAATGTAGTTATTGATGAATTTTATGTTTAAAAGATTGTAAAAGCAAATAAAAAGCATACCATACACGCTTCAGAGTTCGGACTGGGTTTGTTTTCCATACATATGCGGTGTGTCCAGAAAAAACTTTGTTTGCAGGGCATATTGATTTTTGACTAAAAACATATTTGCTAATCATTTGCCCGTTTATGTGCTTTCTAGGGGGAAACTAAAGACGCGCGCATACGCATTGGCGGTCGGCGCGGATAATTAACGACCCATGTGAACCCTTCGAAGGGAAGGCTGGAGTTTTTTTTATCTATAACCGCCATCCACTCGCTCCAGCCAGCTCTATTCCTTGTCGATGGCAACTGCACTTCACCGATGTTCTTTCAAACTCGCCATCACCGCCGAGTCGACTCCACTCGACGCGCCAAAGAAGAAGAAGAAGAAGAACGAAGCGGCGTTCAAGGAGACGAAGCAGGGTTTCGTGGACTACGATGGCGGCAAGCACGAAGTCTCCACCCGGCTGAGTGGGCTCCGCAAGAATGACATTCCTCAGCGCTATCGCTTGCGAGTAGAAGGCAGACGCTTCCAGAAGGACTGGACGGTGTCTGAGGTGGTGGACATGGTTTTGATGCTGAATCTGTCGGAGGATATCGAGGGACTCCTGAATCGCTGGGTTGGACGCTTTGCTCGGAAGAATTTCCCTGTGCTTATTCGGGTATTGTGAAATTCTCTGTTGGCATTTTATGCTTGCTGATTTTGTCTGTTGCGCGTAATTGCGCTGATATAGCTCATTTTGAATTTTCATGGTCACCGGAGTCCCCTGAATTTCTTAGTATTTTGCATTCGCATTTCTGAATACAGCTGCAAAAATAATTCTATTTACCTGTTAAGTTTCAGTTTGATACGCCAAAATCTAAATCTGCATTTTGATTATGTAGGAGTTGGTTCGAACGGGATCTATTGAGCACTGTAATCTAGTGTTCCGCTGGATGAAAAATCAGAAAAATTACTGTGCTCGAACTGATATATATAATATGATGATAAGGTTAAATGCTAGGCATAATCGAACGGATCAGGCGCGTGGATTGTTTTTTGAGATGCAAGAATGGAGGTACCAGGTTTTACTTTGGTGCAAACTCTCATTTTTAGTAAGATTGCGTTCAATATTTGTACGCTCCATATGCCTTTTATATTCATCTCGAATGTGGATATGGATGAAAATGAGATAGACTTTTGCTATTGTTGATGCCTCTTAAGTATGTTTTCCACTGGTTTGCTCATGATTACTCTTGCAATTGATTTTCTGAGTTTGCCTGATTTTCTGTAGTCACTGTTCAGGTTATCATATTGCATTCATCTTTTTTTTTTTTTTTTTAAGGTGCAAGCCTGATGCGGAGACTTACAATGCTCTTATCAATGCTCATGGGCGAGCAGGACAATGGCGTTGGGCTCTGAATATCATGGAAGACATGCTTCGTGCAGCTGTGTGTACCTTGTATTTTTCTTCCCTAATCAATCTTAGTGGGTCTAAATTGATGTGAGCAACCTCCTTTTTTCGGTTTCCTCAATTTTTAGTATTAGATTTCCTCAATTTGTTTTTTGTTTTGGCATATTATATCTTCTATAGCATTCATACCGTATCTTTTATCTCTTACAAGTCTTAGGAAGCATGCTCGCTAACCTGGAGGGATGGAAGCAAGTATGTTTAAGTAGTTCACCATATTGTTTGATGATGAAGTGTAATGAATGAGCTTTTTTACTTGTGCCAGACAAAGTATGCCCCATGAAATTCATTCCTTTGAAAAAAGGAAAAGAACTTAATAGATTAATGTTCATGTTTCTCTCATACGAAATACTTTAGATCTCACTGTTAGGTACTCTTTGAAGTTTGAATTTGCTTAACATGATGGTAGAGGATCTCTCTTTCTCTCTGGAACTATTTATGTTTTTGTTCTAACTGTTGTTGAGTTGTTGGAATGAGTAATTAAGTCTGGTGATAGATATTTATCTGCTATCTGGTTCAGGGGTTGCACTGTTCTAAACAACTTAGAAAAATAATTGATAGGTCTTGACAACTAGTGTTTTCATTTCGAGTGCTGTTTGTAACACTAACAAAATATTGCAGATTCCACCAACCCGATCAACATATAACAACTTGATTAATGCTTGTGGATCTAGTGGAAATTGGAAAGAAGCTCTTAATGTTTGCAAGAAAATGACAGACAACGGAATTGGGCCTGATCTTGTTACTCACAATATTGTGTTATCAGCATTAAAAAGTGGGGCTCAGTATTCCAAAGCTTTGTCTTATTTTGAACTAATGAAGGGAACTAACATTCGTCCAAACACAATTACGCTTAATATTGTGATTCATTGTCTAATAAAGCTTCAACAATATGAGAAAGCTTTTGTCATTTTCAATTCCATGAAGGAAAAGAGGTCAGAATGTCACCCTGATGTTGTCACATTCACTAGCATCATTCACTTGTATTCTATGTGTGGACAAGTCGAAAATTGTGAGGCTGTGTTCAATACAATGCTGGCAGAAGGGTTAAAACCTAATATTGTATCATATAATGCACTAATTGGTGCATATGCCGCTCATGGGATGGACAATAAAGCAGAGTTGGTTTTTAATGAGATAAAACAAGCTGGTCTGCGCCCAGATGTTGTCTCCTATACATCTCTGCTTAACGCTTATGGAAGATCTCAAAAACCCCAAAAGGCAAGGGAAGTATTTGAAATGATGAAGAAAAACAACTGCAAGCCCAACCTTGTTAGCTACAATGCGCTGATTGATGCCTATGGATCTGGTGGTTTGTTAGCAGATGCTGTTGAAGTGTTGCGTGAGATGGAGCAAGATGGAATTCAGCCAAATGTTGTCTCAATATGCACCCTCTTGTCGGCATGTGGACAATGCAACAAGAAGGTGAAGATTGATACGGTGCTTTCAGCAGCTGAGATGCGGGGTATTGAACTGAACGCAGTTGCATATAATTCAGCAATCGGAAGTTACATGAGTGTGGGAGAATATGACAAAGCTGTAGGCTTCTATAATTCCATGAGGAAGAAAAAAGTTAAGCCTGATTCTGTTACTTTCACTGTGCTCATCAGCGGTTGTTGCAAGATGTCAAGATACAGTGAGGCACTCTCTTTTTGGGAAGATATGATGCATCTAAAACTTCCTTTGTCCAAAGAGGTCTATTCATCTGTCATATGTGCCTATAGCAAACAGGCAAGTACCTTGTGAATATGATACTGCTTAATGGAGTAATTATAAAATTTCATGACTCTGGTTCCTTTTGTCATATTTTTTATTCATATTTTTGGGGTGATTTTTAGGGTGAACTCACAGAAGCAGAATCTACATTTGACTCGATGAAAAAGTCAGGCTATTACCCTGATGTGGTTACATATACTGCAATGCTTCATGCATACAGTGCTGCAGGTAGGGTAGGTTATTAAGTTATTAACCATTGAAACAATACTATGGTAAATGGAATTTATATATTTTTGGAGTAACTTTGTGTGTGTTTATCAGGTCATTGGGAAAAAGCATATGCACTTTTCGAAGAAATGGTTACAAATGACATCAAACTAGATGCTATTGGTTGTGCTGCTCTGATGAGAGCTTTCAATGAAGGAGGCCAACCCAGGAGGGCTTTGAATCTGGCAGAAAGCATGAGAGAGAAAGAGATTCCATTTACTGATGCCATTATCTTTGAATTAATATCTGCATGTAGCTTGTAAGTTGTAACCATGCCCTGCACTTTACAATGATCTTTCATGGTTGATTCTTTGTGAAACTTCTGTGATGTCCATCTCATCTTATTCTCCTGGACTGCATTCTTCTAATCCAAACTGGATTTTTTTCTTGTTATCTTCCTGATCTGGGCTTCATTGCGCATTCACCTCTTTGGCAAAAGTTTAATAGCTAATTTTTATTATTAGAAGTATTTTGCTAGCCATATTGTTTGATATATAAGATGGAGGGGTCTTCAGTTGTGAGACATAAAGATACTTGTTTTGCCTTCCCTCGTTTGGTGCAATTGGTCACTGGCTCATTGTTGCCTATTAAAGGCATATTTTTTAACTATAAAATTTGATTTTGATGTTACAATTTTGCTTATTTAAGCACGTGTTGCTGGGTAGATCTTCAACTAGGATGTCTAGATATTTGATTTTTTTTTGGCCTTTGGGAATGTCCCATGGTATGGTATTTTGGTAGAGTTCGTTCTACTTCTAGTTCTTAATATAAGAACTAGTTGGGGTTTGGTCCTAAATATATAAGATCTCAACCGACTTTATTTCTCAAATTTATAAATTTTCTATTGAAGTATTCTTATTGATTGCAAGGAGTTTCCCCCAAAAGGTAGTTTTAATGTACAAATTAGAGAGGGTAGTTTGGGAAAGTAAACACATATTTGTTACAAATAACTAAACTAATTTTCTTAATATCCCCATATTAGTTTTCTAGCTCTTATATTGAGGACCAGATATAGTATTATATATATGTCTATATGGTTTTTTTTTATATATCTTCCCTTTGATATTTTGGCTACAAATTTTTTTTTTTTTTTAAATTGTAGTATGTCTGTCTTGCTAAATTGTCTTTTGCCGTTAGGCTACGTGATTGGAGGACAGCTGGTGAACTAATTATCTATATGGAGCCCTTCCTTGCTGTAGCTTCAGTTGGACTTATTAATCAGTTCCTGCATTTTTTAGGAAAAAGTGGAAGGACTGAGACTATGATGCAGGTATCAAATCTTCTACATGTTTATGCTAAATGTTGTCGTGCAATTTCAATATGTTTTGCCACTACATTTATTTAGATCTCTTTTTCTCATTTAATGCATGATTCGAAGTGGTTACTCATCTGACATTATCTTGCTTTCTGGTCATCTTATTTTCAAATGCCCCAGTTGTTCTACAAGATGGTTGCTTCAGGTGCTGAAATTAGCTTTAGCACTTATTCTGTTTTACTGAAGAACCTTATATCCTCTGGAAATTGGAGGAAGTGCTCAGAGGTAACCTTAATTTCCTTCATATTCTTTTATGTATTGCATTTGGGTGTTCATCTAGCTCTTTCTTGAATATTTAATTTAAAAAAGCATACAGCTTCAAAGTTCTTGGTTTTCGTTGGATGTGTGCAATTTTTTCCCATGATGTTAACAATGGTTGGTAGGTTTGTTGCTTGGATTTTGGTAAACTTGTGGAACACTAATTCAAGAGTTTTGACTCTTTGAATGTGAACTCTTGTTGCCAAAATTCCTCCCACACTTTTATATATTGGCCCCATGCAATATCTTAGGGTAATGGGATAATGCTTTTCTCTTCCATACCGGTGCCAGTTCAGAACATGGGAGGTTGCATTATTCTTCTGTTTTTCTGGCTGCAAGGCAAATTTGCATATCTGGAACACAACATTTGTTCATTCCTAGTTTTCCACTAATTCCCTCTTTTATGAATGCCTGTAAAAATTAATGCAACCTCTTTCTGCAGGTCCTGCAATGGATGGAAGATGCAGGAATTTGTCCCTCATGTGAAATGCACTACGATATATCCTCATTTGCACGGAAAAGCTGTGGAGCTGAAAGTGCTGCTGTCATAAAAGAAAGACTTGGTATGGATTATTACATATATGATTTGGGAGAATCACATCTAAGTACCTCTAAAATACGCATATGAAATGGCCTAATACCAATAAAGTCCCAAGTGAATTGAATGCTAAATTTTTTGGCACATTGCATAAAGGGCCTTCACTTTTTTTGGGGGGGAAAAAAAACCTTCCTCGTCCATAGTTATTGCCGCTAGAGCTACCATCACTGGCAGCCGGCTACTACTGCCAGAGCTAGCGATGAGAGCTCTGGCAACCGGAAATTATTTGAGAAAGGGGTAGTCAATGTGGAATTTTGATTTCACCACTTTTGTATATAATAACAAGTAGACGCTCGTGAATGACAACTACTATAACAGCAATTATGAGCATATACTTAATCACTACATATAAGCAAAGTTGTCATTCATGGAACGTGATTGAGAGAAGTCAAAATTAGACAATCCTTGTATGGTTATCTTCTGTAAATTCTTTTTTCTCGCAAATCAAGCTATTTAAAGGTATCTACGCCTGCGTAGTTTGTGCTTTTGTTTTCTTAAATGCCAAAACTGAAGACAGATAATATTTTACAAGAATACAATCATCTTCTTTAATTATGCCTTTGTTGTTTTTTTTATTTTTTGAGTAGGTTTAGATTTTTTTTTTTTTACGTCATTGTCTTTCAAGTTAGAGCATCGTAAGACTGTCATGGTGTTATGAGATTCTTTTGACCTGAAATTCATTTCGGTCGTAAATTTGTACAGAATCATTGAACAGGAAATTTAGGGATCAAACGCCCACAGGACAGTCGTCCGGATCTCATCTTTTAAGTTGATCACTAACCATGGAACAGTTTTACATCACCGCAACCTGTGTTTCTAGCCTTCCGCAAGATTTGCATTTAAAAGCTTGAAGAATGTTAGTCTAGTAGATGTGAAGTTGATGTAAGGGATAGCTGCCGTTTATTTATTATGATGCTGGGAAGAATTATCCCGGGGAAAGTTGACGGGATTTTGTTTGACCTGCTCAGTCTGTATATACGTTTCTCAACTGCATTGATGTACAACTGATGAGTTGTTTGTAAAATGTAGCTTCTGGCATAGCACTTGAATCACACCTGAACTTGAGACTTCTTGCAGATCAGACCAGATTTTGCTCCCCGGAGATATGAGATGAATAAAATTCTATTATAGTCGAACATCTGATATTTGACAATAGAACGTTATAGCGGGTATTGATTGGAAGCAACAAACTTAGATAATCAGGCAAAGAAAAGAAAAAGCAGTGTTTCTCGACTGAAACTACTAATTGTTTTTTTCTCTCTCGCAACGCTGCAAAAACAAACTGTCGTCTTCGAGACTCAAGTGACACAATATTATAACACGGCGTATCAACTGCAAACCCTGCCTTCTTGCTAAAGTAATTACGCTTTCAATTCTTAATATAAGACTTATTTAACTAATTTGATTAGATTAAGAAAATTAAGTAAGTTAGTTAATTATAAGAAATGTGACACGTTTTTCTTAAAATATGATAATCATCTTTCTTAATACTCTATCTTCCTCTTCTACTTGATTATGGTTGGGGGAGTATCCATAGGGGTAATTTAGAGAAAATTGATGAACATGAGAAATGAGCCTTTTATTTAGGATCAAAATCAATTCAACAATTGAGGACCGAGTATCTCGTTATGTATTTTTAGTACTTTACACATAAAAAAGTAATTTTAGATCATAACCGACCAAACATATATCAGTAGTCACAGTTCATACTGTTCATTTATGATTGTTAGGCTAACTATTTCAGGATTAAAGAATAAAAAATATATTTTTTAAAATTAAGCGGTTAAAATTAAATGGATATTTTCGTAAAACCTTAAAATATAATTATGTCATTCTTTGAACCTCAAGAAACGCCTGGATTTTTAATCAAGCACTAGCATTTAAGTGTAAAGTCAAAATTAAGCTCTTGCAAAAAGGATCCCTGAAAAAAACTAGTAAATCTTAAAATGGGAACCAAATGACTTGACGTGATAGCTTTCCATTTATTTAGTAACAATTATAATAGTCCACACACATTTTTGGGCTTCGTGACCACGCTGATTTCTTAACACAGGCATGAAATGTTTGAGTCTGTTTGATGCATCATGTATTTTTTATTTTTGGCAATAAAAGAAGGTAAAAAATTTCTACTCTATTAATTATAAGACTAACCTCCGAAAATTTCTCGGATTCCTTCTGCTCTTGAAAGGTGTTTTTTTCCCGCCTGTCATGCAACGAAGGTTGTTTGCTTTGAGCGGTGGCAGGTGAACCTTGCCTCCTTGTATTTGAAAAACCAACAGACAAATGGAACGTGCATGATCATGATCATAATAATTGATAATACTTTCAAAATGTCTTAAATGACGTAATTACCCTTACGGGGTCCTAGCCGTTATTCTGTCCCCAGACGGCCACAGGGCCAAATACCCACTCGTCATTTTAAATCCAGGAAAGGTTATATCTGTAATTAGAATTGCTTCTCCCCCTCGCTGAATTTCTGTAGTTTTCTCCCTCCATTGTGAATCAAAATCAAAATACCACTAAAAAGGGCGGACACTGAACTATCTTTGTAGCTCTCTACATCTCTATTCTAGGGTTAGGTTTGGATTCTTCCATGGCTTCCTCTTCCTCTGACCCGAGCAAGTCTGAAGTTGGCGGCGGCGGCGGCAGTGCAGAGGTTTCGGATGTAGCGATGGCAAATGATAAACTCTTACTCTATAGGGGATTGAAGAAAGCGAAGAAAGAAAGAGGGTGTACAGCTAAAGAGCGCATCAGCAAGATGCCTCCTTGTGCTGCGGGGAAACGCAGCTCCATATATCGTGGTGTCACCAGGTACAGACCTCAATTTTCCGTTTGATTGCTACGAAAGTGATCCAGTAGGATAAATATGTAATGGTAAAGCGAATTCCTTCGCAAAGGAGAGAGGGAAAAACTGAAACCTATTCGTTTTGCTTCATGAGTAATAATAATTGACTCATTGACCTCAATTGCTTACGTGGAATGGGAAACTTACGAAGGCAGCGTCACGGCGCCAGAAATCTTATTTGATTTTTAGTGACACCTCAAAATTTATACCAGTGATGGAAGTGGCAATCAATGTCTTCCGACATCCTGCATTGGCATTGCTTTTGCTGACTTCTAAAGTCTTTACCTATCATTATACGCAATTCTGCCTGCCAAAGAAAATGTTATAAATCTCTGGATGCACCATTCTAGTGAAACTATTCTTGCAACGCAGGTAGCAACTAACAAAACGAGAAGCAGTTCTTTGTATATGCGTGATATGCTTGCGTCAATTCCACTGAATTTGATGCGAACTCTAGTTTCGTCAAAATAAGGGCTACCTTCTCCCTTTTTCAGTTTTTTCTTCAAGCGGAAGAGAGGATATAGCTGTCTCTTGTATGTTTACATCGTTGTAAATGACAATTGATAGATGATGTATAAGCAATGTTATAATGCCTTAGTTATATGTCTTAAGTCGTCTCACCTTACGGCTTACGCTATCATTTGACTGCTTTTACACACGCGCGCGCACACTTCTTATTGATCATTTTACATTCCCTTTAGATGATTGTAAGCCGAAACACTTCTTTAAAAAAATTTTGATGTCTAGAACTGTTTATAACACTTTTTCTGCTGTTTCAAATTATCCTGCAAGTTTCTCTTGCACTGCTTTTGAAATGCAATTGCTTCTCTAAGCATAGAACCATTCTTCCGTTTTGATGAATAAACAGGCATAGATGGACTGGTCGTTATGAGGCCCATCTTTGGGATAAAAGTACGTGGAACCAGAATCAGAATAAAAAGGGAAAACAAGGTCTCTTCTTCTCTCTGTCCTCCTTTTGGTCGTGGTACAGAAAGATGTTGTTGAACACTTGACGTACCAAACTCACATATCATTACAATCACTTACATCATTTAATTTTCTGTTATGCATGGCTTGACTGGACAACAATTCATTTATGATGTCAGTCTACTTGGGTAAGTTTGCCATATGGTGATTCCTTCCTTGTTTTCTTTTTAATATCTTTTTTCTTTTCAATTGCTGCGTCATTCATATTGATGCTTGCTTCTCATGATATGTCAACAGGTGCATATGATGACGAGGAGGCTGCAGCTAGAGCGTATGACCTTGCTGCTCTAAAATATTGGGGTCCAGGGACTCTAATCAACTTTCCAGTAAGATATCTGTTTGAATGATTATTTTGATGTGGAGGACACATTACTAGAGGAAAGATTTCCTTTCTTGTCACCCTTATCGTTCTCCTATTTCTAGATGAGTTTAAATCTGTTAAGATGGAAAAGACACGTCAACTGTTCTGTTGTAAATACAGTATTTCTGTATCAAACTTTAATCCGTGTAGGTGACTGATTATACGAGAGATCTTGAAGAAATGCAAAATGTTTCAAGAGAGGAATACCTTGCGTCTTTACGGCGGTGAGTATATACTTGACTAAAATGATTTTCTAGCACTAAACGAAATCGTTGCTAATATGGGATGCTTTCTGCAGGAAGAGCAGTGGTTTTTCTAGAGGAATCTCTAAATATCGGGGACTCTCTAGGTATCAGAAAAGGATACAAGATGCATGTGATGAACACATTTGTATGCATAAATATGTATATCTGTTACCTGTTCATTAGTGTTCAAACTTAAGTAGAAACATATTACATTGATTTTGACAGAGGATTGTTGCCTAGTGAGCTTTGCATCACACATTTTGAATTCTAACACTATTTATTTAAAAAGAAATTTATACATCAGAAAAACTTTTTTTAAAAAAATTATTATTTTGCAATGGTGAAGAATCAATTTGAGGAAAAAAAAAATTAATGGACCTCAATGTTTTTTTTTTTTAAAGGAATCCACTTGAATTATATTATTAATTGAATGTCTCTGCTCGAAATATCATTTAGTTATTCGTACAGAAACTCTTTTTTACAAGCATTTCCATTTATGTTTGTGTGTATGGTTCTTCAATGGTCTGCATATTGCATGATATATGAGCTTACTAAGTAGTGTATCCCTGTAACCATATGTTATTTTGGAGACGTTTGACATTGATTTGACGCTTAAACTTTTATTCTGCATGTCCTGGTGCCAAAAAGCAGCCGATGGGAGCCATCATATGGTAGAATGGCTGGATCTGATTACTTCAACAGTATACATTATGGTAAATAGAAATCAAATTTCACGTCATCTTCCATTATAAAGACTGCAGAGCTGTAACCACAGTCTTAACTATGCTTTTGTCAATTAAAAAATGTATTTTTACGTGAATTCAATTTACTCCACCTGTTCTTTATCTGCTCACAACTTGAGACTTTTCCACTGTTTTACAATATTAAGGGACCGGTGATGATTCAGCGGCAGAAAGCGAATATGGTAGTGGTTTCTGCATAGAACGAAAGATTGATTTAACAAATTACATCAAGTGGTGGGGATCCAATAAAAGTCGCCAACCTGATGCTGGAACAAAATCATCAGAAGAAAAAAAGCAAGGATTTGCGGGAGATATTTGTGGTGAGTTCAAAACGATGGAACAGGAACTCCAACCCACTGAGCCATACCAGATGCCACAGTTAGGCTTGCCCCATGATAGGAAAAAGCATGAAAGTTCTGCAGTCTCTGCCTTGAGTATTTTATCAAGGTCAGCAGCCTACAAGAGCCTGCAGGAGAAGGCGTCAAGGACACAAGAAAATTACACTGATAACGATGAGGATGAGAACAAAAATACTATCAATAAGTTAGACCAGGGCAAGGCACTTGACAGATCACCACATCATAATGGTGTGGATGAAAGACTTGACATTGCAATGGGAATGAGTGGGGCATTGTCTATTCAAAGAAATGTTTACCCATTGACTTCATTCTTGTCTGCACCACTTTTGACCGCTTATAATACTGCCGACCCCATGGTAGATCCTGTTCTCTGGACATCTCTTGTTCCTATGCTTCCTGCTGGCCTTTCTCGGACAGCCGAGGTTGGTATATCTGCTCAAATATGCTTTACTTTCTCCGAAGTTACATGGCCTCATAGTTGTAAAATGTAGATACATTACTAATCTGTCAGATTTTCTTATTTGTCCGGAGATCAGCTGCAGTTCCATATGACCCAAATTTCCTATTATTATGCAATGATGATATGTCAATAAGTCTAAATTATACCTTCAGTTTTCACCAAACAATTGATTGATGCAAATTCTTTAGTTGACTGTATGGTAAGATGCAAATTACTAGTTGCTTTCCATGTAGATTCTCCTCACCACGAACATATACGAATTGATATGCAGGTTACCAAGACCGAGAGCAGTTCAACTTACACCATATTTCAGCCAGAGGAGTGATTGGACATCGCCTTTTGGGTCTCTGATTTGACGAAAAGCAAGACATCTGCTTAGCAGGAGTGGATTGATACGTTCTTCCCTCGGTATTGAACAAGAGCACTACAGCAGCATAAGCATCTGAGACCTCGACTAGTCCGAGAATACCCTGAGGTTCAATTTTTGTAGGCACCGTATGATCCTTTGAGATTATAGAATGGAAAATATTGCATTGTGCATTAGCTTAATTGATATCTCAATCACATGTATAGAAGATGATAGTGTTACATAAATAGGGGGTCTTTTTAATTTTTTTTTATAGTGGGAATGTTTTTCTATTGCATGTACAGGGTTAGAGGAGAAATCACCAAGATAAGGGGTTATGGCTATTTGTTAATTATTATTAATTATTTTCATAAAATCGAGTTTATCAGATTGTATTTTATTATTTGCTCATGCTTGCTTCAGTGTTTTTTTTTTTTTTTTGGGTTCAATGCATGCTCTTGGCCACGTAGGCTTCGCAAGTCTTGTTTGAATTTACATTTCTAGATGAAGCATGGTGCTCTTCGTTTTCTGTGTATTTTCACTTGTACGATAAACGAATGGATTCCAACGCCTTGCACAAAATCCAAAAAAGATTTTCACGCTGGTTTATCACAAGATTTTTTATTTGCAATTTATTCATTTGGAAACCTAGTTAACGGATCATATTATTATTATTATTATTTGGTTACAAGAGAGGTAATTACCCAAAAAAAAAAAACAGAAACTAAAATATTAGGGAAATTTAATCCCAAAGGCTCCTTAGCCACTACGGTCTGCAGATGTGTCAGAAATGAATCCGAAATGGATCGTCTTATTTGAGTATTAGCATTGTGCATTTTGTTAGTACAATAAATCTTATTCTTAAAGCACGATAAATCTTAAAACCTTTTTGACGCTTATTATATTGCTAGCATACAAGAGTGCCAACAAATCTTAGTACATGTTCTTGCCCAAAGAAAAAGAAAACAAATCTTAATATGATTGACTTCTATAATGATCCACAATTTTCTTATTTCTGAATCTTAAGATCTTTTTAGCATTCTTTTTATCCATCCCTTTTAACCCTTACTCTAGTCTGCTCTAACCCCAATTTCTCACTCCTCCTGCTATTCAATTTCGACAAAAACTCGTCTATAATCTACATCGAACAATAATTAAAAAAATAAACGTTAGGTGTATAAAACAAAAATATGGATAAAGAGATTTTTCACGTCTCTACTTAAAAAATAAGAAACATTTAAATATAAAATACAAAAATTTTCACGTCACTATAAACAAACAATGAAATAGATAAACTACAAAAAATTTTATCTGTATCTTTTTATCTTTTAATAAATTTGTCTTTTAATAAAAAAAATAACAGTGAAATTATATAATGACCATCATACGAATAAAAGTTTAAAAAAAGTCGCATTCCCTTTTCTTTGAGTCATAAGTCATTATCAACATAATAGAAGAGACAGACTAAGATAAGATAAGATTTTCTCCTGTTAAAAGTAAAATACTCCCAAACTGCCTAATATATAACAGTTTGATTTTAATTCTAAAATTTCAATTCACCGGTCTATTATATTTATTGTTTCTTTTCTCAAAATAATATAAACTGGCATGTAATTTAATGTTATATGAATGTTTTAGAGAGATTTATAATTAATTAATTTAACTTTCTTAATTTATTTTTATATTAAGAGTATTTTTTATTTGCTCTCTTTCGGTTCAATGTGCTCACTGCGGAGGTATCCACGTGTAAAAGGGATATACCGTTTGGCGTTAAAAACTTGGAGAAAGATAAAGATGCACGAAGAAGGAAACATTTTTCTTGCCAGCCGAAAAAAAAAACATTCGAGCTTAAGAAAACATCAATATGCCTTAATTGTTCTTTACCAATTATCACTCTTGCAAGTTATTCTTCGCTAATCTTTTTTTTTTTTTCGGAAAAAAAATTCTGACATTTTTTTTTTTTTTAAACTGTTATGATACCTCGCCCAATCAGGCAAGGATCAGACAACTGAATTTCAAGTTGTAACGATGACATATAACATGCACAAATATTACCGTTTTACAAATGAAATTCTTGGTATTTTGCATATGATGTGTCCTGATTTAATTTCTATCATTAGGATGATAATTGGGAAGTCTCTCAGTTTCCAACCAGACCATAAGATCGTAGATCGTGGGAGTCTTTTGCAAATTAATTTCCATTTTTTAATAGATGAAACCAATGTTTTATTTCCACATTTGATAGGCTTTTGAGGAAAATATGATTGATTTTTCATTTTTCCCCTAAGATTCGTTTCTAGTGCTAGAAGCTTGGAACTAAATCGAACACAATCACAACTAATTTTCCAACCATGCGATAAAAATATCATTAACTATATACCCAAATTTTAAACAGCCTAGTGCTTAGCATTTATAACTGGCGTAACGTGCATCTAGCATTTTAAATATTTTTTTAAATGCATCTAATACTCTAAAATATTTTGTGATACATTTAGTACTGTAAAACATTTTTCAGGTGCATCTACGCATCTAAATAAATATTTCATATTTCAAGATGTTCGGGTGCATCACAAGATACTTTAAGTTACTGAATTAAAAAAAAAAAAAACTTTTAGGCGTTGCATCAATCTTAATGGCTTATAATTTGTAAATTAAGAAACACCTACTAAACACTACCAGCCGTCACCCGAACTACGAACGTGGAAGGAAAGCTAGAAAGGCACGTGAATGATAAGGTAACAGTCTAGTGAATGGTAAGTAACACATGGAAAATTAAAATTAAAAAGAGCATCGATATCCGGCAAAATAAAATAAAATAAAATCGGGAAAGTTGAGGAAAAGTTTTCACTCAAAATTTTATTAATAAAAAAATCTCATAAATTTTTATATACAAAAATACCAATCCAAAATATTTACATTCTGATTTAAGTCATTCTCATAAAGAAGTTTTTTAATGAAAGCTTAACTGTCTTGTTCCGCAATTATTTTGTTCTTTATCTTGACCGCAATTCTCGTGCGAGTTGGGAAGATTATTACTAATATTTTATTAATTAGTTAAATAATTAATTAATGGGAAAAGGACTTTCTCTTTTATATTAAGAAAAGACGTTGCCACAGGGCTAGAGGCCGCATCCCCGAACTAACCGGTATTTGTCCCTTTCAGTTTCAAGCCGCCCATCTTTGAATTTGATTATTAGGTGATTACCATATTTTTTATGATATTTTATTATTAACTCAAACCTGCTTTATTTTTACTCCTCTTTACATTTATGTATCAATCAATTACATGTGTGAACTGTTAGATGTAAATTTAATGTTCGGGTCAAATTAATTGGATAACTTACCAATTATATTTACATGACCACTGTAGCTTGCTGGAAAAAAATGACAGCTGTAGTTTAATCATCAACTTTTTTTCTTTTTATTCTTTAAAAATCTGTTGTATGAAGAAGACAGCAGGTAATCCACAATTACTTGAAAAAATGACCAAAAAAATAAAAATTTGTAAATATTAAATGAGAAATATCAATAAATTTTTTTTCGTCATTTACAAATTTAGTGGTGTTGACACAAAATAAAGTGTTGTTTCTAATCTCAATTTGAGATTTAGTAATTTTTAATTTTTTTTTATCATTCTTACGGATTACTTTACCGTTTGATTGATGGATGATTTTCAGTGAACAAAAAATTGGTTCAGACTGACCGGTTTAATCAGTGAACTGATCAATGGACCGGTTTGGTTTGAATACTAAACTGGAAGGGAGTTTGAACCGGTCAAACTGGTGTGAATTGATAATAAATTGGTTTGAATGATTAAGTTGTTATTAGTCCTATTTTTTCTCATGCAGCTCGTGATATGTTAGCTCCTATAAATTTAAATGAATTTTAATGATAATTTTGGTATTAATGATTATTAATTTTAATTAATGATGAATTATAAAAATGAAAATTCTCAATGTTGTTATATTTTATTATTGTTACAGTCAAATTATTGTCATATTTTTTTATATTTTGTTATTAGTGATTGTTAATGTTGTTATATTTTATTATTTTTAATTAAATTATATTATTTTAATATGACTGGTTAGGTCCTGAGATGACCTGATTCGACAAACTGAACCTTGAACCACTACCTCAATTAGTTTAGTGTTTGGTCCGGTTTTTTATTCCTTGATAATTCTCAGTTTTATTTATTACACCGTGAAGGTTTCGTTGGATAATTAATTAAAAATAAGTGAAAAAGTTAATGATCAAGAGTTAAAAATTGAAATTGAAATTGAAAGAAATGTCTTGCCCAAAAAACAAAAGCAACAAATATCAATTTGCGGGAAGCTACTTGGACAGTTAATTGACCTCCGAACGCCTGCTCCTTCGGTATTCCATAGTCTCTCAAGCATCTGTCTCTTAATTCTGCCTTCCCTTGTGAAGTTATCATCGTCTGATGAAGGAATTGTAGGGTTTGCAACGATGGGCACTGCGAGGAGGCAATTGAAGGTCATGCTATGGAAGAACTGGCTTCTCAAAATTCGTCATCCGTTCGCAACAAGTGCCGAGGTTCGTCATTTGTCATCCTTTTCCTTTTCCCGCCTTTTTCCTTCCATTCTAAGTCTTGAAGTAGTCCTTGCTTTGATTTTATTTGCATGCTTCTCTAACCTGTTTTTTGTGATCCTCTATTTGTACCTGATCATCTATACGAAGTTTGTTTTCACATTTTACTCCTTCCGTGTTTTGAGTGAACCTTGTAGTTGAGTGATGTGATGCTTGTATTGAGCAATCCTAGTTTGCTTTTTTTTCCTGAGAGTAAGGTAGTCTACCCCTTGAAGCTGTTGCTTTATTAGTTTTTACCGTATATGTAATTTACTGGTAATTTCGTCTTTATCTTCCTGGAGTGAATGATGGGACAGGACTGTCTCTGATAGATTTGGTGTTGTTTCGCTGATAATGTGGGCGCGTGATCTTGTTTTCCTTTCTAATTTCGTCAACAGTAGTATTTTTCATTTGAATTTGGTGAAGAAGGATTCATCAATGTCAGAGTTCTGACGTATCACTCAGTGGTTGACAGGTTTTGCTCCCAACTTTAGTGATGTTGCTGTTAATAGCTGTAAGGACTCGGGTTGATACACAAATTCATCCGGCGCAACCGTGAGCGTTTCCTTCTATTTCTCTAACTTTAATCTATTATCTTCTGGCAAAAAGAGAAACAATGATTTGTTTCCGAGTGTTTCCTCTTTTCATCTCTCACATTTAGGAATTCGAGGAAGAGAATAGAGTATATAAGAATGAAATCTTGTTTAAATTTGAATTCCATTATATGTTATGTAGTAAATCAAATTGGATCTCAGTACTTGGTCTATATGGAAGGAAAACGAAGCATATCTTTTTGAATTTTATTTTTCAATGTTTTTATTTAGAGTAATGTTTTTATGAAAATGGAACAGGCACATCCGAGAAGAGATGTATGTAGAAGTGGGCAGGGGTATTTCTCCTAGCTTCCAACAAGTTTTGGAAGTTTTGTTGGCCAAGGGAGAGTATATTGCCTTTGCCCCTAATACAACAAAGACTGAGCAAATGATAGACATAATGTCAATGAAATTTCCTCTCTTGAAGGTACCCTTTCGTTTTGTGTTAGCTTGTTGTTTTATGCGCCTAATTTTCTTGATTGATTTGTGCAATATTTTTCTTTGCTGGCTGTCCTCTTTTTGACTTTTCACTTTTGTATCAGGCTTCACTGTGGTTGGTTGAGTGATTGCGTTTGATTAGTATGGCTGCTTAGGCTTTCTCTATTGCTGGTTTAGCTAGTGTAGCTTTGTCTATTGTTCTATGCTGCGCATAGAGAACTGAAATGGTCTATTCTACATTTCACATTACATTTTTCATCCTTTTAAATATTTCTAAATTCATTGTAGAAAAAACAATTTCAGCAGTGATTTTTATTGCATTTTGTTTGAGTAGACATCTGAAATAAATATATAGAGTGATGATAGCAGTATATTACAATACTTTTCTTGTGCATAGAGTTCGATGTACTATCATAATATGTGATTATTTGAAGTTCTCATGGCTCCATGCAAGTGTACATTTTAAAGCTAGCTCTCTAGAAACCTTGTTGCAAAGTAAATGTAGTGAACATACATATGTGTGTTCTCCATTCATGTTCCTTATAAATAATTTTCACAAATCAAGCTAATTAAATTTTGGTCATGATTGTTGAGCAAAAAAAAAAGAAAATGAAAAAAAAAATTCCGGTCATGATTTGCAGCTTGTCAGTAAAATATACAAAGATGAGGCAGAGCTGGAGACTTACATACGCTCAGATGTTTATGGTAGCTGCAATCAAGCAAGGTAAACTCTTTTGTGGCGTTGAAGGCTATATGATGGATTTTTAGGTCACTTATTGGGTTAGTTGCACGGTTGAATGGAAATTTAAGTCATATGTTGTTTTGTGATTGATTGAGAGAGCAGATGCTATGCTAATAAACTTGTTTATATGGGCTTAAAACTCAGTGATATTTCTCCATAATATAGATTTCTATGTTTATTCAAGTTTTAAGTGAGTTTGCAAATTATTGATTTCTTCGGTTATATCATGGTGTATGGATTCACTGTAGGATCTTATGTTATGGCCTTTAGTAATCTCAACTGCCATTGCCTATTAATAATGCTTGAAGTGTTGTGGGCTTGTTCCTGCTTAAATTTATTTTTTGGTTACATCATTCTACCAACATTTAGGTTCGGGTGATCATACTACAGTTCTCTCAGAATTTTTGTTTTTGGGTGCGTGTGGATGAATGACATACTCACACCTTATGAGCTAATTTTACTTTCAAAGGAGCTTTATTTAAGATATGCAGCGGAATAGGAGAATATTACGGAATCTTTAGCCTTTTTATATTTCTCCTTTATCTTCTTTTTTGTGCTTCTGTTCATGATCATGTCTCCTGTTCTGCCTCCCCCTGTAGTCTTTGCTTTTCTCTTATTTTAGACACAAAAAAAAAAAAGGGCGTAAGATGAGATATGTAAAATGTTGCCAAGTTAATAGTAATTAGAGGTTCGTTGATAAGTCTTAATGAGTTGATTCACTCATAATTTTTATCTCTTTACATTCTTTCTATTTAGGAATTGCATATATCCAAAAATCAAAGGAGCAGTGGTATTTCATGAACAAGGTCCCGAGTCATTTGATTACAGCATACGCCTCAATCATACCTGGGCTTTCTCTGGTTTTCCTGATGTTAAAACCATAATGGATACAAATGGCCCTTTTGTCCGTGACTTGGAACTTGGTGTTAGTGCAATACCAACAATGCAGTACAGCTTCAGTGGGTTTTTGACTGTATGTTTCACTTTCTTCCCAACCTTTATTGTTTTTGTCATCGGAGAAATATTATTGGAAAGAGCTGTATGTTTCACTTTCTTCCCAACCTTTATTGCTTTTGTCATGGGAGAAATATTATTGAAAAGAGATAAGAATTTGTGTGTGCAGGAAAGCACAAGTTAGAAGGATGACAAAAAAAATAAAAATAAAAATACAGGATAAAACATAAACTAAGAGGACCTAGAATGATTGAAAGCAGCTCAATCTTTGTATTTATTTGTCGCCTTTTGTGGAAGATATAAGAACACCAAGGTATGCTAATTATACTACCATAACTAATTACTGCTTTGAATTTCGTATGATTAAGAGAGCTAGTTATGTCCAATGTTCATATTTAAGGACATGATTAAGGAAACATCTAATGAAGGAATTGAGTGATTTAGAAAGTTATCTAAGCCTAAGACCTCCACAATACATACTATTTTTCTTTCTCTAATCATGCCTTTTTCTATTTATGCCTTCTGTAGAATCATTTTTCCTCACAGATGTTTATATTTTGCAACATATACCTTGTGTTGAGAAACTAGAACCTCCTTTAAGATCGATAAGATGGCAAGTCCAATGTTCATGAAAAATACATTTGTCTGGGAAAAGGGTCATAGTTGCTATTTCATTGTTTTATAGATCGTTTATGTAGATTTACATTACAATTTTGTTTCTCTCTGTCTCGTTGGACCCATGCCTTTGAAAATTTGAGGCTTCATTATCTCCTTTTTTGAATGTAATATTTATATTTTACAGGAGGGATTAATGATTTAGTATTTTCTGCAGCTCCAGCAAGTTGTTGATTCATTTATAATATTCATGGCTCAGCAATCTGACATAACCCCTATCACGGAAAGTGTAGAGCATCCTCTACCACACTCCAATGATACCGATTTGTCTTTGAAAATTCCTTGGACTCAATTTAGTCCCGCTCACATACGAATGGCTCCCTTTCCCACTCGAGAGTACACTGATGATCAGTTCCAGTCAATTGTGAAGAATTTCATGGGGATTTTGTAAGCTTCTCTCCAATAATTTTATATTCTATTTAATATATTTTTCATAAGAACATTTTTTAAAAATATCCAACAAGCTATATCTTTTCTTTGGGATTTTGGCATGTAGGTACTTATTGGGATTTCTGTATCCAATTTCTCGACTGATCAGTTATTCTGTGTTTGAGAAGGTTTGCTAACATTAGCTTTTGAATTTGAGAGACTGATTTACCTATGCCCTTCACTGTTTGTTACATGAATGTGCTTTTCTATTTTGAATTTCCTTTTTTATTAGATCTCTTTCCTCACAACTGATGTTTTAGAAGTCTTTTACTTACTCTTCTAAGTTCTTCGCCTGATATATTGATCAAAAATTCCAGGAACAGAAAATTAAGGAAGGGCTTTACATGATGGGCCTGAAAGATGGTGTGTTTTATCTCTCATGGTTTATAACATATGCTTTGCAGGTAAACTTTTGCTATTCCTTTTTTTAAAAAAAAAAAAATTTTTAAAAAATTTTTCTTTTAAAAATAATATGGGGCAAAATACCCTAACGGTACTTATAGCATACTGTATTGTGGGTATGCTGTTATGTTATTCTGTGTGTTTTTCTTGCATTTTTTAAAATATATCACCAAAAATAGTTCAACTCATGCTTTTCTCTTATGGGATAAATACGTTGATAGATCCAAAATATAAATACCAGTATGGTTTTTTTTTTTGGGGGGGGTCAAGATGGGGAAGCATGATCGTTTTTTGAGATTAAGTGTTCTCTCTCCCTATGAGGCTGCCTTATCTTCTTTTCCCGTAATTCTCATTATCTCTAGCAATTTATTTTCCCTCTATTCGGAAAAAAATTAGAAAATGAATAGAGGCATACCCCATCTGCTCCACTCATTTGGGTTGTGTTAATGACTTAATGAGGAATTATAATGGATCTCCTGGTTCTGCAATTCTTTGCAGTTTGCAATCTCGTCTGGAATCATCACAGCTTGCACAATGGGGAATTTATTCAAGTATAGTGATAAGACACTGGTGTTTGCATACTTCTTCGTTTTTGGGCTTAGTGCAATTATGTTGTCATTTTTTATATCTACATTTTTCAAGCGGGCCAAAACAGCTGTAGCAGTTGGAACCCTTTCTTTCCTTGGTGCCTTTTTCCCGTATTACACAGTGTATGATGAGGGAGTCTCTATGTAAGTGTTCGACCTGTTCTGTTTATTGTGCTAACTTATATTCCCAGCTACTGATATAATTAATTTGGGGTTGCCAACTTTAGTGTCTTAAAGATTATTGCTTCTTTGCTTTCACCTACGGCTTTTGCTCTGGGGTCTATCAACTTTGCTGATTATGAGCGTGCTCATGTTGGACTTCGCTGGAGCAACATATGGCGGGTAAGTCTCTGCAACAGGGCCTTTCATTTCTTCTTTGGAGCTATTGTTTTCTGGTCCGAACTTAAATAACATATTGATCTTACAGGATTCTTCTGGAGTGAATTTTTTGTTTTGTTTTTTGATGATGCTGCTTGATACACTGCTGTATTGTGCGATTGGTCTTTATCTTGATAAGGTATGTCTTTGATTAGTTGAATCTATCCTATGTTTTCAGTCTGTGATATAACCTGCAAATCAAACAGCGGAAATGGTAGAGAAAATATCCCCATAACTTCTATGACATTGGGAAATGTAGAGAACTACATACTCTAATCACTCACTCACTATTGCTTATCACTCCCTAAGCTCAGAACACACGCCTCAATGGAAGAAAATAGGTTCATAGACCCAAAGCATGCAAAAAAACAACCTCATAGCTTGGTTTTTGAGAGACTAGGTCCTCCACTCGGCTAATACTACTAGCCTACCTCCTAATATTTCCCTACACCCCTTTTACACACTCCCACCTCACTGACACTATCAGAACATGCCTTAACCTTCATTGTCCCCATTCTGCCCTTCGCTTTCATGTGCTTGATCTTGGTCTTGGTCTTTTGGACTAGACCAACTCTCTTAGCCTATCTTGTGTACACTCAGCCCCATTTCTTAACAAGGCCCATCATCTTGATTACTCAAGAATGGGACTGTATTTATATTTAATTTCTTCTCTCCCTTCTTGTAGGCCAGCAAATTTCAAGAAGTCCATTTCAATTCTACACTGCTTTTTACAGGGAAAAGAAGCATACAAGTCTAGAAAGATATACCTTGTATTTATTTATATAACTTCCATGTTCTCTTTCTCATCATGAAGGTTCTTCCAAGGGAGTATGGATCACAATATTCGTGGAACTTTATTTTCCAAAAGGGATTTTGGAGGAAGAAACAAGCTGTAAAACATTGTTTCTCCAATTCAGACATAGAAATTGCTGATAAGATTTCCAAGTCAAAGGAAAATTTTCTAGTAGAAAACGCTATCAAACCTGCTATAGAAGCAATAAGTTTGGACATGAAACAACAAGAGCTTGATGGCCGGTTTGTCTTATACCACAGAAGTGCATCGATTGTGGTGATATTTGATACTTTGTCTACTGATTTTTTTTATCTCTGTTTTGAAAATTATAGGTGCATTAAAATTAGGGATTTGCATAAAGTGTATGCTTCTAAAAGGGGGGCTTGCTGTGCTGTTAACTCATTACGGCTTACATTGTATGAAAATCAAATTCTCGCTCTTCTAGGTATGTGAGTTGAATCTATTCATTTGGTGACAATTTCTACCTGGGTCTATTTCTTTTGCTAATAAATAAGATAAATTACTATATTGAACTTTGATGTCTTGATATTTGATAATTGTAATTCTCTATAAGAGTTTGAAACATTTATTTCAAATATCTCCTCGTGAAATCTGGTGTTTATGGGTGATGACTTCCTGTGTTGTAGTGAGTTGTTCACTAAGATTTATAGAATTTTAGGTATTAGAGTCTGAATTTTTCTCTTATTTTTCACCCTATACATGTTCCTTAGTTCTATTCTGTAGACAGAATTCAGTGAGCTTTGCCACATCCTTTCTCTTGTTACTATTCTTTGTTTTATTGTTTCTCGGGGATATCTTATCCCTCACCCTTGTACCTTCCTTCTCTACTTTAATAAGCTTTGTGCCTGTGTTAAAAGAATTTTCATTGCTTGTTGTATGTATATATTTTGGTGTGTTGATTTAAAGGGCACAATGGAGCTGGAAAAAGCACGACAATCTCAATGCTTGTTGGTCTTCTTCCTCCTACTTCAGGGGATGCGTTGGTGTTTGGAAAGAATATTTCAACTGACATTGTAAGTTGAAGTGGCTTGATGCTTTGCTTTAGTTTATTGAATTCTGATAGTCCTAAATGTCCTCAAATAAATGAAAGGTGTCATCAATGTTACAATAGTGTAAAATGTAGTAAACTTGTATTATCAAATAATAGTTAAATGATGTTGACCAATGTATATACTAATTAGGTGATTTACATGCTTCCTTAATGTGAATGTAATAACTTGAAGCTTTGATCTTCAAGAGTATTCACATGAAGTTATCTTTTCTGCTGCCAGTGGGAAGGTCATCTGCATCTATGGGAGAAATTGTATTGATAATTTTCTTTATCTTTTGATGTGTAGGATGAGATACGGAAGGTTTTGGGTGTCTGCCCCCAAAATGACATACTTTTTCCAGAATTGACTGTGAGTTGGTTTTTACTATTTCTAATGTTATGTCGGAGTGGTCTATATGCTTTTTGGAATAGGGACTTTTTACTAGCTACCACCTCAGTGGATAGTGTTTTGAGCTTCTTCTGACAGCCGGTGTGATGAACCTTGTTCTAATATAGTAGCCTTCATGATTATAGCGGGCGGCTCCTGACTGCCATTCCATTAACAACACTGGTCTTATCATCTATTTCTACAAATGTTCACACACATTGGGAATTTCTTTCATTAAAGAAAGGCAAATCCTCAAAATCCTTAGGCAGAGGAGTGGGATAAGAGGAAATGCTGACTGGGATCGAAAGCTTTGATGCTGATAACTATCTAAAACCATATGCTATTGGAGGTTTGGTTAGTTAGTGACTTTGATGGAAAAAAGTTTTGCCCTTAAATATTGGAACAATGTCTTTGTTCTAATTTTGTAGAATTTGATCATGGAGGATAATAAGCCACGATGGGAGTGGGATTTGGTTGCTTTTATCTGGTTTGTATGGAAATAGCAGAATATTTTTATTTTGGGATGGAGAATTTCGTCCTTGTATTTTGTAAGGGGCACAACCATTTTTTTGGTGGTTGGGGCTTTCTTTGTACCAATCAATTATTGACTTCTTTAGTATAGGGGTGGGTTCTCTGATATGCTTGCAAAAGGATCGGACATATTTTGAGCTAATTTTTGCTTTCTGTTATCCTTAGGATCACACTGGCATTTTCTGCTTTTCCTCCGATTCAAAATTATTTCATTTTCGATTACAAAACTAGATAAAGTTGTCAACTATTTCACTCTGCTGTGTGTTTAAATACTCGGATGAGAGTATTGTTAATATTTATGATTTGTCTTATACATAGCTTTCTAGTTTTTTAGTTTTTGATGATTTTGCTTTATAAAATAAATCTTTATGGTTTACCTTATGTTTTACCTTTTGCAATGTCTGATTTTCATTAACTGGACTACACAGGTGAGAGAACATCTAGAAATATTTGCAGTATTAAAGGGTGTGGAGGAAGACTGTTTGAAGGATGTTGTTGCTAATATGGTAGATGAGGTGAGTTTATTATTTTTCAGTTATTATATGAGGAAAACTCTGATCTGTTTAGACTTCAGAAAATCTTTTCTTTCGTCTAAACCCACTTGGTCTAAGTTGTGCAAAAAACAGTATCATACAAACTGGATTTCACTTGGAAAAACTTTTGAAGCCAAACAACTGCTTCAATTTTAGCTTTGTTAGGTCATTTCTAGTATTTCCTTGTATTAATTTTTCTCTTTTTAGAGCACAAGGAGATGTTGCCCAGACATTGAGGTTTGAATGGGTGTGAGTGTGCTAAGGAGTAATCACCTTGTTTGGTTGGGAGGTGTTTTGTAGGCCTAATAAGGAAGGGTGATCTTGAAAGTTTGGTGTCTAAAAATTATTGTGCGAGACTGGTAAAATAGTTGTGGTGGTTTCCACTTGAGACATTTCTAGTATGAAGTTAGCATTGTTGAAAGGATTAGAGAATTAATGAATCTGTTATAATCCCTCATCTTGTCTGTGATAGTTTGATGTACTTCGTCAATCTATGATAAGACCCTTTTATGAATATGTATGATTGGAGTTCAATTTTTCACTTAAGAAATCCCCCCCCCCCCATTTCTTCAATGATTTTCTTCTTTGTTATTTGGTTTACAGCCAACCTGGTTAGTTTGATTCTATTGCTTGGACAGGTAGGTTTAGCAGATAAAATTAACACTCTAGTGGGAGCTCTTTCTGGCGGCATGAGAAGGAAACTGTCTCTTGGAATTGCATTGATAGGGAACAGCAAGGTTGTGTTATATGAAGGCTCATCATTGTCTGTTCATGTGTTGGAAAAACTAGAATGTTTTGATCCTCTTTTGCAGGTTATAGTTCTTGATGAGCAACTAGTGGAATGGATCCATACTCAATGCGCTTGACTTGGCAGTTAATTAAAAAAATAAAAAAGGGGAGGATAATATTACTGACAACGCACTCTATGGATGAAGCAGATGAACTAGGCGATCGGATAGCTATCATGGCCAATGGTTCTTTGAAATGCTGTGGAAGGTTATCTTCGTTTTAAATTTTCTTTCTTATTGTTTGGAGCTTCATGAAGCAAGTATGAATAATGAATAATATATGGAATTTACTATTTAGAACTGGTCCTAAGTTTTTTTGGTAAAGAAAAATGAAGTTCAATGGGAGGAGAAAATGATCTTTCTTTTTCCCCTTTCTAAATTTCTGGAGTAGGTTTATAATTGATGGATATAGTGATTACCGCCTGGCATTTGAATCTCTATTTACTATGGCCAGTAGTTCAATTTTGGACTGTAAACTAGAATACTTGATTGTTGCTTTTGTGTGTCTCGTGACTTGCTCAGTGCTTCAGCAAGAATAAGAAAGCCCAAGTTTTATTCAGCATGTAATTTAGTCAGTTCTTGGTGTATTTGGTTGGAGCAGAATGCTTTCATCTTCAAGGTTCATTTTGACCTTGCATATGTGATGTGCATGGTTGCGTTTAAGGCTTTTATTGGTTCATGCTTGTTTTCCATTTCTGGTATACAGCAATTGGAAAGTGCTGTAGCAGTTTTAACCTTTTTGGTTCTCTATTTCCTTTAGATTCTGTTTCAGATTCATGTTAGCAGAACATAAACAGCTGAGGGTGTTGAAGTCGTTAATAACCAGTTCAACTGTTGCTGTTAGGAATTCAGTTGCCCCAACTGACTTCCACATAAATGAACCATGTGCGCTGGGTGGGATAAAACACCAATGGACCAAGGAATTCGTCTTCCCCCTCACAACACTTCTCAATCTCCTTCCATTTCCTTATCAATTTATAGAGGAGCTTGATTGCTCTGCCTAGCTAGAGATTGTTTATTTATTGATCTTCTGTTGGTTTTGGGAGATTTACTTGCCCTCCATATTTATAATATTTTAACTTGTCAGCAATAATTTTTTTTGCAAGGGATGCAAGGTAAATTACGCTTTAGTGTTATTTTCTAGTTGAACTTGTATCTTCTAAATATTCTTTAAAACCTTGAAATAAGTTACCATATCTTCTTTTTGTTGGTGTACTCAAAGTAGTTGATTGTGAAGTAAGTAGTGGGAGTATATTCAAGTTTTCTTATTCTAATATTGATATACTTTTTCTTTCCCTTATATTGTGTGATCATTTTTTTGACAGTTCCCTTTTCTTGAAGCACCACTACGGTGTTGGTTACACTTTAACTCTTGTGAAGGTTTGCTTCTAGCC